TGTACAACATATGGTCTCACCAGGACAATTTGGAGTCGGATATAACGCCTAGGAATTTCCTAGAAGAACAGTATTGGAGTGTGAGTGTTATAAGAAGAGTGGGGGTTGGGGACCTATACGTGAGCGAGAGAGAAGGATGGAGAAAGATCTGGTGGTAGAGAAGCAAAAGCCATGTTTAGTGGCCCAAGAAGATACAGATGTTATTGCAGACTGAAGGAATTGACGGAGATCTGGTATGAATGTGTCAGATGCATAGATGGTTAAGTCATCAACATATAGTGATGCCCGGGCTCCTGGTGGTAGGACTGAGACAATGTCATTTACAGCAAGAAGGAATAAAGTGGTACTAAGCACACTTCCTTATGGGACACCTTCGAACTGAGGAATGGATGATGGCGTGGAAGAGGAAGTGTTCTAGAAATCAGCTTCGGGAGGTGGTGATAGAGTCACTATACTGAGTGTGGCGGCAGTTAAAATCATCAACTACGAGGAAAGGTGGTTGGAGTTGGGAAATTAGAGTTTCAAAGGCAACGAAGTCAATGGGATGGGAAGGGGTTAAGTAGACTGAAATCACTGTTATCCAGCAGCGAAGATGTGAATAACTGTAGGGCCAGCGGTTGTAAAGGAGGTATGACATAAGTGTTTTAGATAGATAAGTATAGACGGACAAAAAGGGAGTGTTAGAAGAAGAAAAATGGTAATTGGGAATTGGAATAGGAGGATGTGCAAGGAAAGTCTCTTGGAGGCAGATAATGGATGGATTATAAGAAACAAGGATATGACAAAGGTCTGGTCTGTGAGAACGGAAACCGCGAATATTCCATTGTAGGAGAGCTATATCTTAGTTATTTTATGAGTGATAGCGCCGACATGAGTTGGGGAATCTGGGGGGAAGGAGCTAGGGGGTGTAAAGGAGGGGTATCAGGAGGTAGGAATCTGGGGAAGGACATTGTTGAGACATGAGTGATTCTCATGTGTATCCAGGAGGGAGTGGAAAGGATAGAGGGGATGGAGAGAGGGAGAATGTGCATATTGTTGGAGTAAGAGGGGAGGTTGCATTGGGAGGGAGTGGGAAGTGGTGTGGGGGGATATTCGTGGTAGGAGGATGGATATCGGAAGGATGGATAGTTGGAGTTGAAGGGAATGTGTTGTCTTGGGAGGGATTAGGAGGAAGGGTGTAGGGGGCTATGAGTAAGAGGGGATGGTTATCAGGAGGATGGGTATTGGGAGGATGGATATCGATGGTGGACGGAATTGAGGGGGTTAGGTTGTGTTGAGAGGGAGTAGGAGCAAGGGATGTAGGGGGAATATGAGTAGGAGGGGTATGGATATTGACAATCACTTCAAATGTGGAGGAAGCATGAGTTTTGAATATCTCCCATAATTTCTGCAGTGGAGTTGGTTGGAGAGTTTTGTAGGACAAAGGTTTTCTTATGAGGGGGGGAAGAGGAGACTAGTGTCTGAGGAATAAAGGTAAAGGTAGGTGGAGGTGAGAGTGCGGTAGGGAAAGAAGGGGTGGAACATTTAGTCTGATGCGGGCAGTGCAGGGTGGGAGAAGGGATGGTGTTAGGGCTGTAGTCGAGATTGGAGCTGTGGTTGAGATAGGCGTTTCTGGGTTTAGAGTGGCAAAAGAATTTGACTGGGGGAGGTAGAATATAGAAGTGGAAGTGGGGAAGTATGTAGGTATAGGGCAAGGTGTAGGAACATTTTGGGGTGGAAGGGGGGGGAGAGTGAGCGATATTACTAGAGTAGGGAGTATGAGAGAGACCTTGTCGATGTGCTTCTTGTCTGGCTTCATGTAAAGTGAGATCATTTTTGTATCAGAGTTGCTACTTGAGACTCAAACTTGTAAGTGGGACAGCCTCTATAAAATACATTATGGGGGCCGCCACAGTTAGCACATGTACGTGTTTGTGCAGAGCAGTTTGATCGATTATGACCGGTTAGGACATATGGGGCATCGTCTGTGGAACGGCAGTGTTTGGCAGGATGTCCAAGCGCCAACAGTTTTGACATTGACGGGAGGGGATTGGTATGGTCGAACAGGGAGGTATTGTCCACCAATGTAGATACGTAAGGGAAGGTCATGTGTACGGAAAGTAATTTTGGCAATGTTGGTCGGATTCTTTCGTTGACCTCTAAGAGGAATGGTGTAGCAATGTACTGATTTCACATCTTGGTCTTTGAGGCATTCGAATAAGTCTTCTCCACAGTCTGACCAATCTTTGGTATCGACTGGGCAGTTTGCTGGGGAGAGAGACACAGTTCCGATATACAATTATTAAGAGTTTGATGAGGTTCTACAGGAATGGGGTTGCCAGAGTGATCAGTTGGATTTGATAATGCTATAGCTTCAGTATCTGTTCTGACTTACGAGACGAGCGATTGCGTCTAGTATAGAAAGGGACTCTGCCCACTTGTTTTGGAGACATTGTTGAAAGAGAAGAGTTGCCCGAGTAAGGAGCTGAAGAAGGGATCACGAAAAATCGTCCCATTCAGCTGGGCTAAACATATTAAGATATTTGTAGGGTTGGTGGTGGTGGACGGTCGGGGACGTGTGGAAGGAGTATTGTTGAGGGGGGTAGTATTACAGAGAGATGGAGAATAAGGCTGTAAAGTAGTAATAAGGGAGGATGGGGTGCTTGATGAAGAAGGTTGTGGGGGTAGAGTTGATGAATTTGAGGAAGTTGGGAGAGTATGAATGCCTTCTGGAGATTGAGTCTCAGCTAAGGTGGGTAATGCATTAGTAAGCATTAAGGAGTGGGTAGTAGTTTCAGTGTTTGGAGTCGTGGTCAAAGGAGAGCCTGGGGTTGGGAAGCTGGTAGAGTCTGAAGGGGCTAGCTTCATTGACCCTAATAGTACTTCTTCATTACTGGCCATCGGAAGCCTTGATTATGTAGGAGAAATAAACAGTCCACCCCCCCCCCCTTAGCCCTTTCTCCAACCCTTAAGGGAGTAAGGGTAGACAACTAAATCAGGGGAATACTGTGCCCATGGTTCTCGCAGGCCGTTCAGGACTGGTCATCCTTTCATCCTTTCAGCACGGCTCTTACACCTTAGGAAGTAGATAGTAGGAGGGGTTGGAGAAAGGACGGAAACAAAAGCTGGAGGGGGAAAAGACCATGCAAAATTGGTTGAGTCGAGGGCTGAGGCCCTAGGCAGGGGAGATCCCTGCATTGGGTCAGTCTTCGTCTCCAAAGCCCCTCCACGACAACAACGGGCAAGGGATTGAGGGTAATCATTATTAGGGTATATGGATTATATCTATAATCTATTTATTTTTGTTTCGACCTCAATGTGTCAAATATAAATTGGTGTATATTTTATAAAGTAATCACATTAGGTCCATTAAAAGAACTTTGCTCAATGTACCAGAACTGTCAAATGCATTGTTTTGTATTTCAAATGTATTTTGTCTTAAAGTCAATGAAGTTTGTATTATAACAAAATGTTACTCAATGTTAATATGCATTGGGTTATAGACTTCCTAGAGAGATCATATGGAGTCTATACAAGGAAGATAGTCTATTGCTACCTAGACAAAGCAAATTAAATGACAAACATAGACATTGAAAAAAGGCATAAAAGCTAAAAATGTCTAAGCAGAAAAAGAGAAAACACCATTGCAAAGGGGAGGGATGAAGTCTTGTTATTGCACACGAGTGTTCGTTTCCGATCGGCCTACAAGCCGTATACCCGGCAGAGTGTCTCCTCACTTAAGCCTAATGCCTGTATTTTGGGCAGTGAAGCATCCGGATCCAATCGATTTGTAGGGATAATAATCCATGACTGGAATACATGAGAAACAGGGTTGGTGTGGTGTGAAAAGTGGTGGAGCATGCTAAAGTTGTGTAGATTTTATGAGAGAGTAAATATAGTTCAAGAGGAAGGGAAAGAGTATATTTTAAGGTGAAAAGGCATACATACAGTTCTGTAGTAAAGGCACTGGACTCACTGTGAAACCAGCACCAGAGATGGATTTGGAATCATCAGTGTAGATATGGATGCTGGAAGAATTAGTTGAGATATGGTCAAGGAAATGGGTAAGAATGACAGAATGGGTTTATCTGATTTTGGAAGGTCAGGGAAAACAGAGGAAATATGGGCTAAACCATGGAGGAGCGAAATGGACAGCTCGTGGGATACTTTAAGGAAAATTGATGGATGTAGGCATATTATTGGAGAGAGAGAATGGCACGGCATCGAGAGATAGAGATAGTATGTCTGACTCAGCATAGGGGCTCTCAACTGGGGAGGAGCAGAAGGCACCTAGGGCTAAGAGAAGACCACATGCATTATATCAAGATGAATAGAAAGGGAGGAAGAGGAAGAAGAGTATATAGCATCCATAATCAAGAATGGAGAGCATAAGAGTAGCATGAATATGGAGGAGGTTAGCGCTCTGAACCACAGGATATAAGGAAATAATGCCAAGGAACTTGCCAGAACATTACTGTAGAAGAGCACCATATAAGAAGAGTGGAGGTTGGGGACCTACACGTGAGTGAGAGAAAAGGACAGAAACGGATTTGAAGATTGTCATATTCAAGATATCACATTGTGGAAATTTACTATTCGTTCTTGTAATTTGCACATGCAGCTAGTTAGAGCAATGAGAGGGGATACCCAATTCATTGGGTTTCAAGATGGTGAGAACAAGGGCTTCACGCCAGTGAGGAGGAAAATGTCTTTTCATCCAAATGTGGTTGAAAATAGTGAACAGAAAGGCTAGAGAGGAAGTTAGATGTCAGAGCACACAGTTATGAATACCGTTAGGGCCTTCATGGGTGTTGTGCCACAACTATAAGGCAGTGTGAAGTTCAAAGGAAGAAAAAAGAGCATTATAGGACATGAGAATGTGATGGGAGTGCGTTCTCTGATAGTCGTAATGGAAGAAAAGTGTAGAGCAAGATAAAACCCACTACTGAACTGGCTGAGATACTCATCCAGTTCATCAGTGCCTTGGAGATGATCAAAGATGAGAGTATTGAATATGGAGA